AAAAAGACAAATATATATGCATAAGAAATATTTGTACAGTTACTGCTTAATTATTATCCACGTCAGTTGAACCGAAGACATTGCCCGAATTACTTGTGTACAGAATTCGTAGTTATAAAAGTCGTTTTCATGAGTAGGACTGGATAGGGTAGTGGAATCGGTTACTGCGGATGACCTATCGCTGTGCCTTTGGTTTATTTTATATATGAAATGGAACATATTAAATTTTTGTATTCAAAAATAAACAAAATAAAAGAATACAAAAATTTAATATATCTTATTCGATACATATTAAGTTAATTATGCTCGAGAATAAATCAAAGACAGAGCTATTGGCCATCTCACAGTAAACGACTCCTCTACCTACGACTTCTCTACTATGAGACTGGTGAAGAGGAACATGAGGAGAAAGTGCCTTCAGAAGCAGATGAAGAACCATAGATATCGACATCGTCTGATTAAATGTAAGTTAAAGAGAAAGTTCTTATTATAAATTACATTCGGATAGTTAAGTTAAGTTAACAGTGTATGGAACCAAATATATATTTAGTAAATATATCCTTTAAAAAATCTTTTCAATTTACACAGAACGTCTAGTGCATGAAAATCTAGTTTTCTCAAATCTTATTACAATTTGGATAACAAAACCAGAAAGTGTTTTCCAAATTTATTGTCCGAATACATTTTCCAAACTTATTTTCTATATTTATTTTCCTAAATTATCATGTGACGTATGGACCTGTACAGGATGTCACTGATAAAAAGAATGCATTAACAATTAATAATTAGTATGGTACGCGCCTGAGGTGCTTCAAGCACTATGGCCGGCATTCAATTCCGAAGCCTGATCTAAAGTATGGAGAAAAGAATATATGGAATATCAGAAACAAAATTTGCTACTCACTGTAGAGCATGGTGAAAGTAAGAGCGTTGGATCTCTGCGGTTTATTGATGGTGTTATTTTAAAAAGTAATCTTTATCAAAGTGCAAGAGAAGTGGGATTGAAAGACAATTTTTCTTTGCTGCAAGACAATGATCCAAGCCACGGTGCGAAAAATACGCGAAAATGGATCTTATACAATGTACGGAAATATTTAAAAACGTAGTCGCCATACATGATCACCCAAAATGACTTCAAGAGAGCACTTTTAGAAGTGTAGAAAAGGATTCCAACATGTGTACTCACCAATTTGGTGAATTCAATGCCCCGATGGTTTCAACTAGTAATAATATCAAAAGAGAACCTAACCAAGTATTAAAGTAATTAAATATATGTAGCGATTTGCTGCTTCTTAGGTATTAAACTTGATTAAATTTTTCTTTTAATTGTAAGTGTACAAATACTTATTATTCATATATTTTTGCCGTTCTTCAGATATTTGTTTATATTTTCACAACAAAAATAGATATATTCTTTTTTTCTAAAATTATTCTAGAGATATCCAAAAATACGTACATATTTTTCGTTCTTTTTTTTAATTCTATTAATAAACGATGTTATGTGTGCAACATTTTTGTTGAAATTATTTATTGTACATATACCGTCTTCAACCGTCCGTCTCCGCATTTAAGGGCGGGTTTGCTAGATACCATTTCTGATGAGCAGAGTGCTCATGAAATTTCCCTCAGTAGTTATAGTGGGGGAAATTACGCGATAGAGATGGAAATCCCATTGAACAGAATACCAGGTATTTCCACCTTTACCACGTAATTTCTCCCACTATATCAAAAACGGGGTCCAACATCTATCACTAAGTTGGCTGAGCTCTACGCCAGTGTTCGCGGAGATATAAGTTACGCAAGAAGTGAGGGCAAGATGCGCATGCGCGGAGGTCCCGCACGGCGACATACAAGTACGTCTACTGGGTGAATAGAGTCTCTCTCTAATTGTAGTTCAGAATTATAACGTTCACCCAGTAGACACGCCACGCCGCTATGCGGAACTCCCGGCGTCACCACTCCACTTCTTACGTAACTTATTTCTCCGCTAACACTGGTCTACTCTTATGGATTATCGATCCAGACTCGATCAGCATCCCACTCGATCTTGCGCATTTAAATAAGGCAAAACATCGAAAATGCATGTGAGGTGGTACCCTAACGCGTAGTACGCGTTACGGTCAATCGCGTTCTTTACATCGCGTTCTCCTCAGCTCCAAATAATACTTGCAGCAGAGCGTAGGAAATAAAACTAAGAGTAAAGCAATTGTGACTTCAGGGACCAAAAGATCACAAGCAATGTTTCCATTTGTGGACGTTATAGAAGCGTCCCTCGCATCCGCACTACCCCCTGAATAATCTCTAAACTGAAGTGGATTAATAGAGGGCATACGTCGATATAGTCGACCAATGTTACATGTTCAATGACAGTCAATGCCATATCTGACGCGACAACCACATGTCGCATTCGAATCGTATATATATAGTCCTGACGCGACAAGAAGACACCTTTGTGTTTACATTCGCCCTCTTACCGCCGCAGTTATCGGTCGCTATTGCCGACAGCAATCTTCGTTTTCGGCCAATAGTGACCGATAGCTACAACAATGGGGGGCAGCCAGTAAGAGGGGAAATGTAAACACGAAGTGCTTTCTTGTCGCGTGAGAACCATACGTACGATTCACGATGTTCGCATCGTGTAAATAGCATGAATCATGGATACTATCTCTTACCCCCCCCCCCCATNCACTCGATCTTGCGCATTTAAATAAGGCAAAACATCGAAAATGCATGTGAGGTGGTACCCTAACGCGTAGTACGCGTTACGGTCAATCGCGTTCTTTACATCGCGTTCTCCTCAGCTCCAAATAATACTTGCAGCAGAGCGTAGGAAATAAAACTAAGAGTAAAGCAATTGTGACTTCAGGGACCAAAAGATCACAAGCAATGTTTCCATTTGTGGACGTTATAGAAGCGTCCCTCGCATCCGCACTACCCCCTGAATAATCTCTAAACTGAAGTGGATTAATAGAGGGCATACGTCGATATAGTCGACCAATGTTACATGTTCAATGACAGTCAATGCCATATCTGACGCGACAACCACATGTCGCATTCGAATCGTATATATATAGTCCTGACGCGACAAGAAGACACCTTTGTGTTTACATTCGCCCTCTTACCGCCGCAGTTATCGGTCGCTATTGCCGACAGCAATCTTCGTTTTCGGCCAATAGTGACCGATAGCTACAACAATGGGGGGCAGCCAGTAAGAGGGGAAATGTAAACACGAAGTGCTTTCTTGTCGCGTGAGAACCATACGTACGATTCACGATGTTCGCATCGTGTAAATAGCATGAATCATGGATACTATCTCTTCCCCCCCCCCCCCATCTCTTACTGCCGCCACCGCGAATCCCATACGTCAGTTTGCAATGCGCCTGCGCTGACACGATGCAACAGCCAAGAAGGTCAGAGAATCTATCGCAAACCACGTGATCAATAGTTGGAGTGGGGGACGGTGAGCATGGAGTTTGTGAAGGGACTGCGCTAGCAACCGATGCCACCTGCGTCCCGCGCCCTGTGTCGCGCCCGCCCCGCACTACTAATCACGTGGTTTCTGGCATATTCTCTGACATCCCTGGAATCAGTGGTCTTGTGGAATGTGCTGGGAGTTGTAGAAGAAAGACCTTCCGATTTTCCCCTCTACTACTCTGGGCACATTTCTCAACACCACTAGTGAGGGTTATCCATGTTAAATAAAAAAAAAGGATTGGTAGCGTAATGATAGAACCAGCCAGCGGGAATATGCGTATGACCGCATGGGCCGCCAGCGCCCAGATCCCAATTAGTGTATATCGGCCTAACAGTCATCGACCTCTTGTTTGAAAAATTTTCGATTGTAATCGTTACTTACGAAGCAATCGAAGCGGATCCAATTTCCCATTCCATCCTGTATCGTCGTTACATTAAAACAGTCTTACAAGTAGCATGATACTTAAGAAATTTGCATTACAACGGCTACGTGGTACAATCGACTGCGTCGATGAGAAACGAACAGACTGTCAGAGATGTGATGGTGATAGGTCTACAATGTACCATCGATTTCTTGGAGCATACCAACCTGCAGTTCACGTTCTACATATGTAATCCTGCTTTGAGACCGGAAAAGATGTACGAAATCAGGATGAGAATTATGTAAAGAAAGAAATACGAAAAGCTGGATGAAATGATTATGAGCCGAATATCGCATAAAACAGATCCGCCTCAATGGTTCTCAGCTTCTAGCATTGCGACGCGGCCCTGATTCTCTCTTTTCCAACTCTTGCAATTTATTACGAGCGAAAATTCGTTAAACGGAATCACGCATCTTTCTCTCGCGATTTCTACAAAATCAAATCATTCGGAATGCAACGAAAAGGATTGGAGGGGAAAGTTCAACGGTGAACATTGCGGAGAAAATAGAAACATCTGAGACATGTTGATAGCCATAACAGCTGTTCGCTTCACTGCTATGTTGAGCATTTGGAGTAATAGGAGTGCGGTGGACAGCTGTAGCAACTATAAGCGTGTTTCAGGCGTGTTCTCCCGAAAGACAGATTTTAATCGATTATTCGTGTCATCGGTGACGTTAACGACGAGATCCAAGAAATTTTCGTTGGTTTAGTATCGTCGGCAATTATTCGGAATCATGGTCACCTCGCCGATTTCCACGACCTTGAAGTACGTTGTCTAGGTCACCATTCTGAGCCCATAAACGCATCACAGTTACCATAATTTGCACATGTCTAGTGATAATCATATTTTAAGATCTCGCTAAGATCGAGTGGCGGTCACATGTATAGGGAAAAGGATAAAACTATTCTAGAACCTTGATAAAACTATTCTAGATCACCGAAATCGAGGAGATGACCACGATTCCGAATAATTACAGAGTGGATGTATCAAGGTAGTCTCTTGGTTGCAAATGTAGATACAGAAACATCGTTTTCTATTCTTCCAATCAAGGTCTCGACGAACTTACAGAACTAAGAACCACTGATACTGAATGAAAAACTTACCTTGTTCTGGCTTCTCGGTTGATTCGTCACGACATCACCCTCTGGATTCTGGGCCCGCTATAATACAACAACAACGTAAACAAAACCGCTAATCTATCGTATTCTAAAATAAAGGCAGACATAAAGAGTGCATGCTAGGCTAAATCAGGAAGTATTTACGAGTCGGTGAATCAATAGGTCGAATGGATCGATGGAATATGATTGATCGAGAGCGATAGCCGGAAAAAATGCTTGGATGTTGGGAAAGATTGTTTACATTCTCGAGAATCGAGGCGTGTCGCTGAACCATTCAACGTGTTTCATTAATTACGAGCAGAACTTGACCACATCGATTTATCTTGTCTGGTATTGATAATAGAACAAAATGTCAGAGGTCAGAGAAAACGCACGATTAGGTTTGATGTAGGCAGAAATTTCTTCTCGAGATCACCACTCTCAGATTTTCTAGATTTCATGATTGATGCTTTTTTGAAGCAACTGTTTCCGTTACTGCCATGTAACATTGTTGCAGCGACTCGTACCCTTGCATAGTGATATTAATAATGGAATACCGCACGTGAATGTTACTCGATTAAATATACTTTCTGACAAAATCATGATTTATCAGATGTCTCGAAATTAACGCTTAAGTGATAAAATCATTTTCACAAGAATAATATGGTAGACTAGAAATCAGAAGTACAAAAAATTGTGTTAATCTAATTCCAGGTAAGCACTCTATTGATATTTTACTCTTATTGTATAAAATGTGGATAATTAAACTTTTACTACAAAATGAAATAGGTATATACTTAGGTCTTTTTACAATAATAATTCAAAATTAACAATCATCTTTCGTCTGCAAAAAGAATTCTGATCCAACGTGTATGCTTTGTTTAAAAAACTATCTGTTATTGTTACTAATTAAATGTTAACCTACAAAATTTTGTAGAGTATTCTCATGGAACGTGAGAACTAGTCGCTGAAAATGAAAACTAGTTGTTTTTGATTACTTATTCAACTATGTTCTACTAATGAAACAC